ATTAATTACTTTTGAAAATAAGTAATCAGTAAAGTAACGGGATTACTTTTTGGGGGAAGTAATCAGTAATTAGTTACTGATTACTTTTTTCAAGTAACTTGACCAACACTGATCATATCTAATAACATAAGAATCCCACTATTTGTTAAATGAACAGACTGGAGTCTTTCGCCTAACCTTCTGCTCTCACTGTTTATAAAGACATGTCATAAACCTCTTTACTTCCAAAGGAGGGCACTAAGCTTGCAGGCAGACATTTTACCGTCTCCTCCACGAGGTGTAGAGTTTGCGTAATTATTTCTCTCACAAGCCAACTGACACTTTGATAATATGTATGTTGTGTATGTATTGTATTTTGCACTGCTGTTCAATCAGATTATATGGTAAAGAACACTCATTTTTGGCACATTGCATTATGCTTAGGGCACTTACTAAACTAAGGATTAACCTACTAATCACATTTTATGCATTTATCCTTACGGTAGGATTTGCAGGAGAGATAAGAGCAGCACATTTTCAAAAACCTGAGAAAAAAATCTTCCCTTGTGTATAGGTGAGGATGCTGCTGTGCCGGGGCAGCTGTGTGAAGGATCTGAGGATGCCCCCCTGGTTCTTCCAGAATCTGAGGAGTCAGTTCTTGACGTATGCAGCCCCTGCAGCCCCTGCACCCCCTGCTCTATTGCCTCCTCCATTGTGGTTCACATCTCTGAGGAGGAGAGGCAAAAGTACGAGGAGGAGATTCGCAAGCTCTACAAACAGCTGGACGATAAGGTAATGAACGAACAGTGCACGAGGATGATTTGTGCACGGATGTAGAGCTCCTCAAGCACCACGGCTTTTCTGTAATGTTATGCACACATTAATTCAAAGACTGTGTCATGCATATATTATTTATGTTAATGAGTTCAGGATCATACACGTAGTAGTGAGTAATGTAGCAAACACAGAGGAAGTAGTAACTCTGAAAAGTGTTAAAGCTTTAAATTATTTAAGACTTCTGCGTACACACGCGGTTTTATAATGTGTCATTACTAGATTTTTCCTTTAAATATGCAGAAGCATATACTGACATGTTTTCCTGTACATGCCTTGCTGTGTGAATGCGCACACTGCCCTGTGTACATTTTGCTCTGTATTCATGTATCCCTGGGGATGCATATATTTTATTTTGTCTCTGCTGATGTGGTGCAGTCATAACAGACCTGATGCATGATATTCTATATGTTAAATGTATTTGTGGATACAAATGTATACATAGCAGATACCTGGGATTTTTCTTTTATTGCACTCAGTCGCAGTGTACCTCGGATTTGCCATCATCTCGTGTGGCGTGTGCGAGCTGCTGCAGACCACTATGTGACATATATATATTATTGTTTTTCTCCAGTAGCACTGACCCTGCAGCTTCTGTAGAGCCAAGCATTAAAAATCCTCCTCCTCTTCTTATGATCCCGGTTCTTTAACCTTTTGGTTTTTTTGGTTTTATAGTTTTGCATTATTGATCTGAGTATTTTTGAGTGTTTAGTTTGTGTTATAACTTAGTGTTAGGTCTCATTTCCTGTTTTATTTTGATAGTTGCTTGCCTCTAGTGTATTGGATTTAGTTTTACTTCTCCTTCTGTCTTTGACTATTGTCACCTGCATCTCGTTAGCCTGCTGTGTCTACTTTCCTAATTGCCCTCATGTGTATAAAAAGTGCTGTCTTACCCTGAGTCTTTGTCTCAGCATCTGTTAATGTTCTCTGCTTGTCTTCAGATAGTTTTTAGAGTTTGTTTAGTCTCCCAGTGGATTTTGTGCTTTTCATTAGCTGGAAAAAAAAATCCTGCTTGGTTTTGTTCTCCATCTCTGCATTTTGGTCTGCAAAGCACAATGTTTTCTTTAGATTATCAAACACCTGAAGAATCACAGATGACAGTATTAGTAGTTTCTACTGTTACCATTGGTAACATATTGGTAACATGTGTAGTGTACCTAACACTTGTAACAACCCTTTTGGGTTATAGCACCACTAGGGGGGGTTGCCAAACTATTGTAGTAGCTATGGGGGTCTCCTAGTGGGTGTGTGTTGTTAGCCATTCTCCAAGAAAACACCTTACTGTTGTAACAAGCTGGCGCTGGCGATACCAATCCCCGCGCATGTAGGCTCGGACGAGTACAGCCGAGGA